AGATATCGCATGCACTGCAGCTCAGGCTCTTGAAGCGTGGCGTGGGCTAACCCTGAACTGAACCAAAGATGGTATTGCCAGCAGAGATTAGCCACGGAATCACAAGTTTAGCAAGATGCCACTCAATCCTCTGCAGACCGACTCCTGTCGATCTAAAGGGGAATGTGGGCTCACGGAATTCGGAATGCTCGCACTTCCTCGCGAATCCCAACAAACCCAGGGTTGCCCCGTTGACCCTATAAATATACCAAGGAAAGAGGGGGACCATGGTATTAGATCACTCGCACCGCCTTGCGGACCCCCAAAAATCCCAGGGTTGCCCCGCTGACCCTATGTATCGCTTGGTAGTAATCGCGTAGAGTTAACAATCTATAAAATGCACACACACAAAAAGAGAAACTATACCACCAAAACAAGAGAATATACACATAAAACATCAGAAATATAGAATGTACATTTATTACATTATGTTATGGTTTGATCAGAATGTCACAAAGGTGTGTAGGGAAACAGAAAACTCAATAAACTCGAAGATGTCAAAAAGACAAAGCAGAAGACCTGCAACATCCCACATAATCTGAGGATGGAAGGCCATGCACATCGAGCCCTTACAGAATAACATGCGTAAACAATGCCAGCTGAAAGTGTATACATTTTATTGTAAATAGTTGTTTGTATGAGGCTAGTATGTGGAGTCAAATAAAATAGTCTTAATATACTAGTCAAATGCTGCTTTTCCCTCAAACATGAAGCAACTTGCAGTGCACATGCAGCGTTGTAGAAGCATATGGCATGCATGCATACATGATACACTGGCTGGTTCATATCAGAGTGCAAGGACATGGGAGAGCCAGGAGTTAGCAATTCCCCCCCCCACAATGACGTGAAGTCGTCCCCAAATTAATTGGCAATCCAAAACCGTAACATGATCAAAATCTTGGAAAAAAGTCTGCCAGTTAGTTCTCAAATTCCTCTTTAGATATGGGTATTTTCCCCATTTATGTATTCATCTGAGGTTCTCAGGGCTCCCATTTTAGCAGTTGAGTAAAGAGTAATTCTCCATTGGGCATACTCTGTGTTTTTGCAAAAGTGTCCGATCTATGCCGGCACTTCATTTGCGCCGATGTACTGCTTTCTTTAACAAAAGTCCCCAATCAAAACTTCAGAACTTTGTGTAAGAGACTATTCCATTTAATGCATCCTGGACTTAATGTTTTGGGCACTCTATAAAAAACATACTTTAAATAAGGGGTGCTGTAATATCTAATCAATTGGAGAACAGCTGGGGATGTGCTTTTTATCTAGAAAATAAATAATTATATCAGGGAGATATGCAATCTGAAATTGGCCAAAACTTTTTCAAGCTCATTTTGTTGATTTGGGGGTACCTGTATCTTGTGGATATTTGTGAATCTTGGATGTTTGTAAATTTCTTCTCAATGCAGATTCCGCAACATGTATCACAATTCAAAACACTTGCAAATTTGTTTTTTTTCCTTTTTGTATGGTGATCTGACTTCTGCACAACTTTAAAAAATGCAAGTATGTGCACTTGCAGGGTCATTCTAAATTTCATATTGTTTTATTTTAGTCATCAATAGCTGCCTGCCATTGTTACAGAAGGGACCAACACATAGTTTTGGAGACATTACTCAAAATGTTATACACTTTACAAGATATGCGGTGTGCAAATGTGGGATACAGGCAACAAAAAATAATTTGTCCTTTGTTTACTCAGAGCAGGGAGATACAAATTAATGTGAAACAAATTTTTAAGTGTAAGAAATTGTTCTGACATCTGCAACTTTTTATATTAATTATGACCTGTTATGATTCTAACCTTGTGCTCATCAGGGTCGAATTTCAGGGGGCGTGGCCGACTGGTGGAGGTCAAACTCTCTACTTCGATTTCCTTTAAGCCTTTCTGTTGCTTTGCAGATTGGCAGCGTTGTTGATCAATCAACTCATTCGTGTAGCCTGTGATAACTCGCCACTCAGCCTAGGAGGAAAGATATTACTTTATTTGCTTTTTCCTAAAGGCTTTATAAAAACATTTTGTCCTGAAATATATTTTTGGGATATCATATACGGTCCTCTGATTTGTATGCGATAATCAAACACCCTTACTTTTTAGCTTATTCCTTAAATGTGCATTCTTTCCTTATAATTTACAAAGTCTTTTTCACAGATAAAGAGAAAGTGGTTGCACCACAACACTTCTGACACACAGCTTACAGTTCAATAATATTTTGTACAAACTATCAAGTTAAATGTAGCTTACTGTGAACGCCTGTACATTAAATTAATTCACTGCCCAGCTGCAGTACAGTAAGAACATAGAAACACAGGAAAGAGAACAAGCCACAGAACAAATCAAGCACTCTGGTGCAAAAAAAGTCCTTTTTTTGGTTAATTTTGGCCTCTGCCCTTACGCTCATTTTACGTTGTTTTTTTGACTCACTGGGGAATCCTTGAAGAAGTTGTAGAGCAGGACATCATCAAACTCCAACCCTTTGGCCTCGCAGATGGTCATGACCAGACCGAGGCGAAGCTCTGCCGGCAGTCTCTTGATGGCTTCTTCATTGGTGACCAGGATTACCTGTGAGACGCAGACCTATTTGGTTACCATGGTAATTTCTGATGATGGGTACCAATGAAGTATCATACAGTTGCCTCTGGAAGTCAGATGGCAATAACAAACAGTCCACAGATGATTATAAGATCTTAGCTGGTGGCCTGTGACTTTCCATAGCCAAGACTTTCTTGTTGGACAACTATAACCCTAATCTGGTTCTGTGGCACGTCAAGACTTTAAACACAAAATATGTAAGACTTTTAAACTCAGTAAATGGACCTGCTGTGTGGGTGCGTGTGGGTTGGTGTGTTTGTTTGGCCATGGGGGTCCTGGCAGAACTGGTATCTACCAACAGGTTGACTTCATCTTTCAAAATCCTCCAAAGCCTCCTGGTAGATTTTTGAAAGGACCTTGGAAGGATAGAGTAAATTCTGGGCCATTACACTGACCTGGTGAGCTCCAAACTCAATCTTGGATGTCTTCCTCTTGCTACCACGCAGCAGCAGAGCCAAATCACTGAAGCTGCAGGACTCCAGCAGCACTGGGGAAGGGCCGTGGAACAGGCCCTGGTCCCGCTCCAGATGGTCAAAGGAGTTTGGGAAGAAGTGGGTCATCAGGTCCACGATAGTGGAGGCCAGCTTCAGGATCCCTGGATGAATGGCCAGAGTGTAGAGGTAAAATGCCAAAGTCTAAATGCAGAACCCTTGTTATTTGACTATGGCTTCCACAGGACCATGTATTATTGCTAGCAGGTGGCAAATAAGTCATTGGAATACAGCCATAGAGAGTGTCAGAGATGTCAACTTTTCAAAAAGAAAAAGTGTAATCCTAAAACATGATACAGAATTACTTATTACATGTATACATTTCAACAGAAACACATTCAAACCCTCTGAGTTGAAATTTATTGTAATAGCAGGGGTGGATCCAAGATTTAAGAAAAGGGGGGGTCCAACCAAGGGCACATATTTTGTTTCAAAAAGCATGCCTTGAACCCCTCTACCTTAACCCGAAAATTACAGGTGACCTTTGAGGCTTAACAGTCTGCATGTGTGGTTGCAGAAAGTGATCACTTTGATACCAGATGGAGGAAAATGGTATCCAACCGCAAAAATAAAAGAGGCAGGGAACAATTTCAAATGCTTTGACATTAGCCACCAAAACAATAAAAATACATTAGATTTATCGACCGGAAATGGCCTTGAGAGATTTCAGAGACACATACATTTCATTAAATGGAAGCATTTTTCAATTTTTTCTTATTACTGTTTTTCCCCACTTATGTTGTACGAGATCCTGCATTATATTTATCTTTGTTTTGATGTATTTTTACATTTTAAGGGCCCCAAATGATCATCTTTTGCTGGATGGGTTACACTCATTCAAGATGGTTTTTTTTTAATTGAATTTGACCCACAATAAGGTCCGCATCACATTACATTAGGCAATCAAAAAGTGTTGGCAGTGTGCGAACGAGTAGCACTACTTTTAAAGTCTTCAAAATGACCTATTTCTGGCATACTTTAGTGTCAAAGTCAACATACAATACTTTGTTACTGCATGGAGCTATAAATACAGAGAAAGTTGACGCAAAGCTTACAGTCAAGTGTGCACGTTGAGTGGTTTCAAAATAGTCTTTGTGTAAGTCGGATAAAGTTACCACAGTATGAGCTTGCCTATAAAACCCAAACCCTCTTGTAAATCTACACATCTTGATGAAAACAGTCTAGGCAGCAACAAGAGCATGAGTAGTTACTGTGGCAAAAAAGGGTTTTATGAGAGAAACTGTGAATTAGAAACAAGGCATTTGGCAGTAACTATAATAGTGTGAGACTAATCTCATCCATATGCAGACATCAATGCAACTTATTTTGGTGTAAGTTGAAAATAATTTCAGAGATGATAAAAAAAAACTATCCTTCCATGCAATTTTTGTCTATTCAGTATAAAATAATGTGCATGTTTCTCCAGCCTTGTTGCATGTGTGAAGGACCTAATGCAGGGAGTTAAAGCATCAGGTCAAATTGAATAAAATGTGCCCCAAGTATAGGTCAATTTTCTCCACGCATTGTTTTGTGCCTCATCGAAGTTCATCTGTGGGGGGAAGATCATTATCTTTGGCGCCACGCACAATAATCTACCAAATTTGAGGAGTCCAAGTTGCACCAACATGCCTGAACTTACTCTTCCTTGGATGGGTTAGAGCATTCAATCAGTTGTAAAGAAACTCATGGATAAGAACAAAAGGATTGGACAGGCTAAATCTTGCAAGCCATGGTTGACTGATCATGATAACAATTCCGTTTCCTTCCACACAATGCCTGGGAGAGCACTTCTCCACACATTAACACGCACACAATACACATCCGTGCTTTCTCTGCACACCCAGGATAGTCTTTTGTAAGTTCATGAGTGTATGTTTAAATGTGAATGGAAATGATGTTAAGTTTGATTGAGGGGATGGAAATGAGATGCGAAAGGTGGTAAAGGTGATGAGAATCGGCGGGAAATGAGAGAGTGTCTCCCTGAATTCCATCTGTGTAGATGTGTTGTCACTTGGCTTTGCTGCAGCGACATGATTTTTCTTCTTTAGGGCAATTCAGGGTCTAAGACGGTATTAACAAGCAGTCTGGCTTGTAGTAGCCAACAGCTTGCTTAAAAGTAGAATTTCTAGAGTGGCAACCGAGCAATTTTCTGCTTGATGTTTGTTTTCAACCTGGCTTGAGGGAGAGGAGTCAACAATGTTGATCAGTAACTGTAAGCTGAAGAATATAATTGGTTTTTTTTTTGTTTACTTTATTCAAAGAATATTATTTTCATTAACGGAGCAATTGGTATATTTCCCCATTGAGGATATTGTTTGGAATCTGAACCATTTGAGATATGTTTTGATTGCTGATTTATTATAGTACTTGAATCAGAGACGTTATAGTGACACAGAAACACAAGTAATGTGTTATGACCTTTTGAGAATAGAGTTAAAGTGTTGCATCCATCCCAGTAAAGGTTTAAATGCATAATTGCGGTTAAAACAGATATTTTGACCCAAAGTTATTGTAATAATGTGCTGGAAATTGCAGATGGCCTGCTCCGATGTTGAGATGAGGGTCATACGGATTGTCCTTGACAATGCGAGGGCCAAGAAAGCTGAGAGCCATCTAGTGACCGTCAGCCATATATGAACCTCCAGAGACAGTAGGCTGGAGAAGCATTTCAAGCTGATGGGATGTGAGAGGTGCCCAAAGACATCAGAGACTTCATTCATGGCTGATTGCATGAACTCTGAACAGAACAGTAGATTCATCATTGCACCTATTCACCCTAAGTTCATCATAGCTTTAATTGGGGCGAGCAGGTGGTTTGACCTCAAACAAGTGAGTTTTGGGGTTCGGTAGACATACGCCTTTTGGTGAAAGTTTAATTTTAAGCTTTTAGGTTCTCCTGGGATGCCCACCACGTCTTGTGTTTGTCTTGCTGTATGTGGAATAGCCCAAAGAAATATTATTGTACAAGTTGGCATCTCTGGAGTGTTCAGAATAGGCACTGTTATTTCTGGTTACAAGCTATTTTTATGGAAGCTTTTGTTTCAAAGTGTATTGAAATGGCATAGACAAGTTTATTTCTCCTATTGATTCAGAAGATGATGACATCATTTGTATTGACTGTATAGGTGGCAGAGCATGCACAATGCCAGCTTTGTTGGCACCCAAGTGTGTTAAAATAAGTTGCAGTGACATTATTGTACAGTACATCCAGACCGTCGTGCGAGCTTGTGGCATAATTACCAGATTCATTTCTAACAGAAGCTTTACCAGCAAGTGCATGTGTAGGTGAAACGTAGGAGCTTATTTACATGCCCGTAAGAATCAACTGTTACTAGGAGTGGTTGATTTGCATTTGTACTAAGAGTACATAACTCTGAGAGAGATATTGGGAAAAAAGGTCAGCTTGAAGGTCAACTACACTATCTACATGTAGGTCAGAAGGTTTGGACAGGAAGAGAGCTGACTGATGCCTTGCAGTTCCCATTACTAGGCAGATAGGGAGACAATTTGGAAATTTTAGGGAAATTGCGTGGTTGCAGATAGCGGAATATGGGTTGGAGATTATATAGGCCTAGGCAACACTTTCATAATTGGACAACTATAACTGAAACCTGATAATTCCCAATACTCGAGGGAAATATTGCCTTGCCGATAATTTTGCTTGTCCTATATTTGTTTACTGTTATCAACAGAGACACCCCCATCAATTACCATCGGTGGTATATTTTTACCCAATAACCCCAGATTGTTGGTCTTGACCCCAGACTGCTTAAGATTGCTCATCAAACCCAAGGGCCAAGGCAGAGTAGGATTAGGTTTTTCTTGACTGGTACAATCTAGGTTCGCTAGCTGGGAATAAATGCCCATAGAATAAAATGCTTGACATAACAAAAGGCTTTCCAGTATGTCAAAGTGATTAGTACACCCAGGATATGACCACAACTCAGTCCAGCAAAGAGGACGGGGAACCACTGCTGTAATGACACTATATACTTAGGCCCGATGAAATAAAGCTTGAAAATTACTCTATAGGCATTCTTGTTTCTTTTTAGAATATATTCTATGGGCTCTGTGTGAACAAAACATGACATATTTTACACTAAATTGTGTCCAATTGAGGCGGCACACCCTGTATGTATGCACATTTTTCAATGGGCTCAGTTGGTCTTCATGTTAATTACTGGATGTCCGATCGAAATGACTGGCCACCAGCCTCTCCGTTTTGTTTATGGTTGGACAGAAACACTGACAAGTCTTACCAGCATGTGACCTGTAGTTGTGTGTAAGTTGGTAAACTTTTTTTGGCACAGTCACAGCTGAGTGCTTGCCCAGGGCCTTGACGGATTTGCTGGCGTAGTGAAAGAGGGATTTCAGATCATCGAAGCGGAATGCCACACCACGCATGATGCTCTGCGCAGTGTCTCCTACAAAAGCCAAAAAAAAAAAAAAATGCTTAATTGACAACAATGATAAGTCATAACTTGAAATGTTTGGGGATTGTCTGTAGAGGCATTTTCTTGTCAAACCTATCAAAAAAAGGGACCCATGCAATAGAGGTTTCAAAACAAACCTTGAACTGCATCTCCATTCAACTTTTTATACTACATTCAAATCTTTACATTTTCATTTAGGTGTTCAGCAGCCAATTTCACGAAACGTGGCTTAACTTCACACCATGCATAAGCCTCGCAAAACACATTTGTGCCATAGCTGTGCAGTATACTTACAACAGTTTTCAGGGAAAGTTGCTCGGTTGTGCAATACTTTTTGGATGAGGACGGTCATGGCCTTTAATTACAGATGTTCTTCTACCATATCACAGCAGTCATTGAATTATCTCCATGCACCCACCATTGTGATAACATTTTGGTCTTTTGGTATCAAAACCAGATAGAAACAGATATCAAAGTTCTCTCACAGCCGAACAAGTTTTTCATCACTTCCCCAAAACAAAGTTGTACATTTCTTATAAACCTTCCTGAGCAACAATGATCAAGTCCCTAACAAAGCATGATTTGTCAGTTAAATCATTGATTTCTGCTTAGTGCTGCTCAACTTACATTTTGCGAAATGACAGTGTCAGAGGGACGGCAAAAGTCACAGACTTATGTGCTGCATAACTCTCATGAAATGTGTCATAATTTGTTGGACATCTTGTTGCGCATAAGTAAAGATACATGTGTGTCGTTAAGTAAAACACTGTTAAATACAGGGGATCTAAGCTCTGGAATTCCCTCCCTAGTCAACTTAAAGCTTCTACTAATCTACATGTATTTATCTTTAAACGATTATTTAAATCTACCACAATTCAAACATACCATAAATCATGCCTGTGATTAACCTACTTTATTTCTTGTGGTCTCGATAAGCCTGCTGATCTGCACTACATTTTTGTTGTTTGTATTTACATGTTTATGTTATATGGATGTCTTATGAGTATTTGTATTTCCCAATTTAAGGTCGTGTGTAATGTAACGGCTCATGCTTCAAAGCTACCTCTTCCTGATGGGCTCTCCCTGCAGCATCTATAAATCTCATTGCTAACAATGTGATTTGACTACTGATACTGTAGAAATAAATTAAACTGAGCAGTGAAGAAAAGTGCATTAAGTTTTGTGAGACTGGCTGTGGCAGCCAATATTGCAAAACATACAAACTGTTTAAAAAAACAGGCGTGGGACAGATGAGTCCTTAGTGAGAGGATGCAGCATCCCCCCTCAAAAAATAACTTGGCTCATTTAGGGTTAAAATAGTCACTCTCTTTTCACTAAATACTTCTGGACAAAAATTGAAACAAAACATATTATTCACTACTAACCAGTCAGAAAGAGTGAGTTAGGGTCATGTGCACATCTTATTAGGAGTGCAAGCTCTGCCTGTGTGAAGTCCTGTGTCTCATCCACGTAGATCTCATGCAGCACCCAGTTAAGCATCTGGACATGCTGCAGCCGACGGTAGATGTGGAACACTAGGTCTCCCTCATCAAAGAGACCCTTCTGGCTCTTGAGGTGCTGAAGTGGAGATGATAAACATGAAAAATGTTGAAGCTTGACAGAATTTAGCACTCACATACACCCTTGTTCTGTAATACTGAGGACAAACACGTGTTGTTTCCTCTATTTTGCAGGGACTGAAAATGTTGTGGGGACAGACACATATCCTCACAACTCGGTCCTAATTTGCCTAAAAAAAGAAATCATCCCCTCAAGGTGGTGAAGGTCTATCCGTACTTCTTATGGAGTTATAGGAATTATCTTTTGAAATAGAAATGCTATGAGGACCAGAAACATTGTGGGGAATCAAGTTTGGGACAAAAATGTGGTTCTTACTTTCTTGACAAAAGAATGTGGGAAAGACTCACCCACAAATGCATGCACACCCACACTCGAGCCACATTACATTGGGCAAGTTAGCGTGAAAAACTGTATTAAATTTTAGTTTGATCTAGGACACCCAAACCATGGATGGATTGGGCCACCTAGTAAACCATTTGGAATCAAGCTAGGGGCAGGGTCAAACCTGGTTGTCAATTGAGGTCAACCTGTAGTTCGCACCAAAATTTGCCAATAGTGGTCAGGACCAGACACATGCAGAAACATACATGCACAGGCTGTGGGGACCTAGAATGTTATTTGGACAACTTTTTGTCCCCACAATTTGGTTTTTTACTTTTCTGACAAACAAGTGAGTAAATACCTGGATTGCGGTTTCCATCCTAATCTCCTTTTGTTTGGTCCCCATAGGATTTGCACATGATTTTCCAATCAGGAACTTATTGCTATTTTATATTCATCATCCACAACTGACAGCAGAAACAAACTCACACACATAATAATTATGGGCTCTTTCAATTGGAGCACTGTTTCAGCCCTCTCTAGGCTAGTACTGGCAAATCTAATTGGAGTGATTCATACTGCAGTCCACCATCAAACATATGATGCCGAGTCCACTTTTCATTGCTGTGGTTGACTCACAGTGTTAACTAGCCATCCAAGTAATGACATGAAATCTGAGGCCTTGTAAATAAAAAACATTACTGTTCACAGAAATATATTCCAAAAATGTAAGTCTAAAGTAAACCACTGAATCTTTCTCACCTAGATCAGATCACACACTGGCAAAAATGCTCTTAAATTGGCGTCAGAACTTTTCTGACGATGCATTATATCACTTGAACTTCTGCAACAAATGGCAACTTTCCTGTACTGACAATCCTGTTAATTAGGGGGCTTCTTCAACACTGATCGCAAAGGAATTTATGAACTTTTAAAAAGCCTTTTATAGTATGTAAAATGGGGAACAAATAATGTGGCAGTCGTGGTCACACATGGAACTGCATCGGCATAAACTGAATGCTTTTTTTGTGAAAGATTTGTGACAGCCTGCAAAACACGTTCTCTGAGACCTCATAGGTTTTGAAGAGATTGTAGATCTCTTCTCTGTTGGCGGTGAAATTGGAGGCCCTCTTTTGGCCGAGTGCGAGGTAGCTTTCGAGAGATAGGTGGCCAGAGTCTGTGTGAAGCGCTTCAACTGATCCTGTACGTACAAATAAAAGACACAGCAGAATTTCAACTTTCAAGTGAGTTCAACACTTAAGGTTGCTTGAACAATAAACCTCAGAAGTGTTATCCAGCTTCTACATTCAAAACTGTGTTCTGCTATTCCATTAACTACATAAGAGATCAAATTTCAAATGTTACATACACGTACTACGTCAGCATCCCAGATACATACTAAACATGAGCTGCAAACAACAGGGTTATTCAATCAAGCTGTTTCTATCAAGTTTTCTATAAATTTCAATTAAGAAACTATTTTTTCCTTCACGGTCACTCTGCTCCTCTGCAGGAAAACCAACCATTGTAAAATGTCTTGCTCGAGGACATAGAGTGAACATATTGAAACTAACCCCAGCACCATGAAAACTAAAAAATGCTGTTTTCAAAAACAACAAAAAAATAAAACAAACAAACAGTAGAGAAAAAAGTCCCCACTTACCCTTAATGAAGGATGTAATCTCCATCCAGACCAGCGTGGGGTGGTACAGCAACTTCTTCTTGTTGATGCGGGGCCAGAGCTCAAAGGCAAAGACCTCGTAGGTGACTTCACGTCGCGGGTCATATTGGGCACCACTGGCACCACATCTGGCCCCTTGCTGTTCCTTTCTTGGCCTGTGAGGGTAGGCAACACCAGCGCCAAGCCCTTGTGCTTTAATCTCATCATCAGGAGGGACAGAGGCATCATCTTCATCTTCCTCGTCTTCTTCCTCCATCAGGAGAGTGGAGGTCAAAAGTCCATCCTCTGGAGGACAAAAACTTTCATAGATTTAAGGTCTAGTGATACACTTTGTTATGCATGTAGTTAAGATGGAAAATGTGGAAATCCAAGCTCACTACAAGTATTCAACTAAATTTGCTCCGAGCATTGAAAACATAAAATGCTCCAACACAGCAAATGGGAAACAAACAGGCATGCTAATTAAGAAAAATTATACAAATTAACATTTTAAAAAACATAATTATATAGCATCTGTTTTAATTTATTTTTCTTCTTTTGATTTGATACACCATTATAAGAAGGTTCTCAAATGTTTGATTATGCAGGATCTAAAATTTGGGTAACATACGTGTATTGCTGAATGATGTTGCTTGTGTTATAAGTTTGAATGCAATCCCTTTAGCTTCTAACTAGCACCCCTTAACAAATATACTGGCAAATGAGAAGAAACCATTGAAATGGTGCAGGGTAGCTCAACTTTAATATAGCTAGTGCCAGGACAGTTTTCCAGAGGTCACCAATTCAAATCTCTCACCTGAAAATTTCTTTGTCAACTTTTATTATGAGTAAGTATGGATTTACCATGAGTAAAGCATATGGATTTTTTATATTTTTTTGATGGTGGGAAATATGGTCCTCTTCTTTTGGGTTAATTTTAGAGAACCATACACAGGGCAGATATATTGACATATTTTACCCAAAAATGCTTCAGTGTAGAAATTCATGACAAGGTATTCATGTCCTACCATTATCCCATCCTTGAATCTTCCTTTTCAATGTTCCATTTGCTTCTCGGGGGAAATATGGATTAGGCAAGGAGGCGTCCAGGATCAGCAGGAACTGGTGTGGAGTTAGGAACAGTGGGAACCGGGCTTGGTGGGCATCCTGGAACCGGTCGGGGATGGGTGTGTCCTGCTGGGCCAGGGGCTCAGCGGCAAACTCGCAGGCGTGGCTCATTTCGCAGAAGTTACGCTGCACCTCTCTGCACAGCACTTTATTCTTGGTGATGAAGATCTGGTGCAGATGGTCCATGACTGTCTTGCCATCTGCATCGCCAGTACTGCTACGGGGACCTTCGCCACTCTTTGAATCACAAGAGTAATTGCACCAAGCTGAGCAGCTCTCAGCCCTGCTCGTAATGTTAGATGCACTGCTGCTTTCGGGTTCAGGGGCACTTTTATCTGTTATCAAACATCAACGATTACAATGAACACACATCAAATAGTATCATAAGTATCTATGCCCACACAATGGTCATTTTGCTGGAACAGGACACTCACATTCTACATGATACTTTCCACTTGCTCAACTAGCATTTAAAAACTGTGGAGTGAGTACCCAACAGCTCACATGAGCAAAAAAATGATGCTGTAACATTATGAGCATAAGATTTGAGCTTTGGAAGTGATGACATTACCATTGGATAACAGGGTGATTTAGATTTCGGTTGATTAGATAAATTTGTCATTGTTTTGATAAATTTTTTATTATCATTTACATAATTTCTGGCTGCAATCTTCCTGTGGGTATTTATGACAGACATTGGATGTACTAAGGCATGGGTGGTGCATTCTTTTTAACCTGGGTCTTCATCTGGCTTGTCCTGGTGTATGAAGGCAATGTCCCTCGGGATCAGTGGTTCTCCCGTCATGGAAACCTGCTGCCAATATTTGAAGAATTTGGTCCACATGCGGTACAGGCAACATGTGGTCTTACCTGCAATACAAACCAAATAATCAACAGCAGAACTGTCAACAAACGATTGTGTCTTTGTGTTTCAAGCGAACTTGTAAATAGTATTTCCGAGAACCTTTGGAAAATTCTTGAAGTAAGATTTGTGGTGAACTGCAAATTAGCAAGATACAATTCATTAGAAAATTTATTCATTCATTTATAAAAGTGGGCATGGGTTGAGAAAACTATAGGCAAAGCCCACTTGCCACTCATTCAAGCCATGGTAATTGCCCTGGCTGTGGTCTTGCACTTAGCTTGTAAAAAAATTCCCTGAGGGCGATAACGGTAGCCGACAGGAGATCCTCAAAATCCTGGCTCAACCTGCCAGTTCAGGCTGCTGAACTTGGGTATTCAGGTAAGAAGATTCATGGCATGAAGGGTCAACAGATTTTGTGCATTGTGATTGGCCAGTGCGTTGCAAACTCTTGGAGGCGCACTCTTGTGAGTCACTCATATTTATCCACTTAAGGTTGCTTACCAAATAGCTAAAATACTGTCTTCAGTCAACAAAGTAACATGTGCCCGTACAAATAACTAACCAAGGAGTGAGAAATTTGAAGAAAAGAGTGCTTAATATTATCAATATTTAAATATCGACATCATGAGTAGTCTAATTCCACAACATATATGGAATACAACAGTCACATAATTTTTGTTATTATACATGTATTTATCACATTAGCATCACAGTGGCAAATTCAGTAGGGCTCATTGTTGGGGGGGTCAAGTCCAAATTACTTGACTCTGGCTCGAAATATTAAATCTTTGTATGCTTTAAGCTTGTAGCCATTCTATCGCAGTTGCCAGATGTAGACAGGTGAATTAGATGTGGTTTATCTTACAATGTACTCTTGGCTTGACATTTATTGTGTTGTTTGCACAAGTTGACCACGTTATTTTTGGGTCTGCAAAGTTGTCACTCTCATTGGCAACATCATGCTGTGTAACTAGGCCTCTATGAACAGTGACTATTAAGGTGGCACCATGCAGGGTCCCCACTATCAAATGATGTACATGTATACCACCAGCTTTTGAAGTCTCTGACCATCAGCACACTTCAAGTAAAATTTTGCCTGCTATATTTTCCTAAATTAGTCCACTGGAATTGGTATGATCACAATCTCCTAAATCATTTAAACCAGTCCAGTCTTGAACCGTAGTTTGAGCTAGGAATCCCGAATTCCACACCTGTTCCACTCCTGCCCAGCAGTAGGATGGAAGAGGCGGGCCGAGGCTGCAGGTTGATAATGGCATGCTCCAGCTCCGTCACACAGAACGGGAAGTCCACCTTGACGTCGTTGTCATTCAGCATGGCATTGACCAGCGTGGAGTTGACCGAGTAGAACTTCATGATGTGGTACTCATTCTCCCGGGAGCTGGCTGGAGGGAAGTAGGGCTTGGTGATCTTCTTTGCATTGTCAGGGGGCTTGGAGCTGTGCTTTGAGGAGTTGTTGGTGATCTCGTGGAAGTAGGTTGGCAGTCGATTTCCCATTGTGGCTTCTGTAGAGTTAATACATGAAACTGTTTAGTATGTGTAACAGGGAAAAAGGGCACACTTCAAATACGAATAAAAATAAAGAAGAGACTCGAAGAAAATATAACCAAATGAAACCCTCATTTCAATGCTGTCATTCTTTACACTAAGCAAACATGATTCACATTACTTAAGTACTGAGTACATGGCCATTAACTTGAGCAACATTACACAATGTATCATTTTACATTTGATAAATTAGATGACAACATTTCGGTTTATAAGCAAGCACACTTTTGTACCCCAACCTACTAGGACAGACAAATGATGAACAGGACAAAACAAAAACAAGTGTGAGACAACACGGCATTAATAGGGCACAAATAAATATGATTTAGGAATATGAGAAGAGCATCCAAGTTCTTAGTTTTCTAGCAAACACAGATAAACAAGGTAATGATTTGAGAGGATCATGTAGACCATTCCAGTGCAACATCGTTCTTAGGGAACTCGCCAAAAAATTACTTTCAAAAGGATAAAAAAAGGGAGGAATCAAAAGAAATCTAAAAGAATAGGGATGCGGAAGCTGATAATTGTTTCCAACAACAACAAAATCCTATATTTCTTTTCAAACCATCAAAAAAAGGAAAAGTAGCTGGAGAGATAGAAAAAAACAGGACCGTGTAGGACGTCCAACCGAAAATCAGATTTAAAAATTCAGCCAAAGACTTGAAAATCTAGCCCAAACATTTCCACAATTAAATCTTAAAATTTAGAAGAAATACGACCAAGCCCACAATTAACTTTAAAATATTACAACAATCCTAGACCAAAGTAAATCACCACAAAACCAAGGTAAGCCATAACTAAACTAAAAAACAAGACCAATCCAAACTAAAAAAGAAACCAACACAGCACTTAAGAAAAGTTACAGATCAATTCAACTCAAGCATTAACTACCAAGTTCACTGCAGGTCTGAGCTTTTTCAAGTATTTGGCAAGGACTAGTAGCCAATGAATATTTTTGAGCCTTTTTTTCACTTTTGGGGGGGCTAAACAAAAGTTTACCAGAGTTAACCACTACGAGCCGGGGACTCCGAAATCGGAGCCGTAGGGT